TTTGGACATGTCCAAAACTGTTTAAAATTGTTTAAAATTGTTCAAAACTGTCCAAAAATATTTAAAAGTTTTTAAAATTATTTAAAATATTTTAAAACCAACAATATATATACTTGTACTTTTAATAAAAGTTGTAAAGAAGGCTACCACAATTCCAATATTGGTAGAAATGTATAAATTGGTTTGGTGAATCATGGGATATATATAAAAAAAGATTTATAATTCTTTAAAGTTTCTTAAAATTTTTTTAAAAAATTTAAAGAAACTTTAAAAATTATAAATTTTTTTTTACATATATCTCACAATTAACCAGACCAAATTTATGTTTTTATTATTGTTAGAATCAGAATAACCTTCTCTATAACTTTTATTAAAAGCATAGTTAAAAGGTTAATATAAAAAAATAATTATATTTAATAAAAAAATCTGTTTTTTTATTTAAATTTGCTAGTAATATTATACTAGCCAATTCTAGATAGAATCTTTTGAAATTACAAAATCTCTTCTGATTGGCCTTTGTATTATGTAATATAAATATAGATTATGTAACAAATCACTTTGACCCAGATTAAAATAGAATTGACTAAAAATTATTAACTAAATTATATACAGTCATGCTTTCATATAATTATCTCTCTATAATCACATTATATAAAAACCTCTTTTTATTACATTCTGTACTTTAGGACAAATTACTATTAAACTTATGAAAAACTACCTCTATATAAACACAAACACTTTATTAGCATATTTTTTAAAAATTTATTAAGTAAAAAAAACATGTAATTATATTGAAGTATAACTATATATAGAAGTGAATTAGTAAAAAAGAGATAAATTTTTTTTAAAAGTTTTTCTAACTATAAGTTTAAATAACTAAACATTTACCTTATTAAATTTAATAAAAATTTTTTTAATTTAATTCTATATAATTTTAAGATTAAATTAAAAAAATTTTTAGCAAATTTGATTAAATAGCTGTTGAGATATTTTAATCTAAAAATTAAAAAAATTTTACTAAAAACAATTTGTCCCTTTTCTACTGACTCACCCCTATATATAATTTTGTCCAAAACCAATTAAATTTGGTTTTGGTTTTGGACAAGGTTTTGGACAGGTTTTGGACAAGGTGTCCAAAACCAAAACTGTCCAATTTCCCAGCACTGCCTTATCATTATTGACCCTATTGGTACTCTATTGATACTGTCACGAATTTTATCAACATACATGTGACTTAGAATCGGGTATTAGGCGGTTACCGATCCAGTGATCGGGTGGGATCAAAGACGTATGTGATGTAATGAATTGATCGATAATTCGAAAGTCAAAATGGTGGCATGATTAGTTTGCATAATTAATATAGTCATAGTTTCGTAGTTTATTAGAGTTATAGCATGAACAATGTAGTCATAGGTTGACAAATCAATTTGAGTAAATAATTGATCGATTGATAGAGAGTGAATAATATAGCTCAAACGTAATTAATGAGAGCATCTTTGGCTCAAGCATAATAAAGAAAAGACACAAATAAATTATGAAACGAAACCCATTATCAAAAAGGCCAGAGCATATCGTAAATAAGTGAATACATATTAATTGAATAATAATAAACACAAAGTAAACGCGTGTGAATAGTCACAACTAATTAAATAATCGTACGCGTCCCTTGGCGCCCTAAAAGCGAAGCCCTAATCCATCGGTCTAGACATTTAGAGGGATTCCCACCTCTAATTAACCCCGTGATAATACACTGGTCTCGATTGGTGACTATTAACTAAATACTTTGCGGAATTTGCGAAAGCGACAAAATATTCTAGATTTAGCATAAATTATTAATACAGAATATGTCAACCAAATTAGTTTAAATCTCAATCAAATTCGTAACATTACACGAAATTTGAGTTTGGATTTTGATGATTTTAGAAACCTCATAAAGACGATTAAAATGGTACTAAAATACTAAAATTATCAAAATTCAATCACCAGAAAACGAGATCAATGAAAGATCAAAATCGAATTCCGTGTAATGTTATGAATTTTGATTGAAATTTATACGAATTTGATCAACACATCCTGTAATACAGGTCTCTAACAGGAAATTTTCATAGAAAGCACTAATTTAGTTTCTTACTAGCACTATTAACGAGGTTTTGACGAGGCTTTTTGACTGAGTATGAAAATTAGAAAATTTTCATACTCAGTAAGAAACTATATTAGTGCTTTGCTATGAAAATTTCCTGTTAAAGACCTATATTATTAATAATAATTTACACTAAATCTAGGATATTTGTCGCTTTCGCAAAAATGTAAGATTTCTGTAAAGTAGTTTACAATCAGTAAAAACCTATTGATGCCCTATAGGTACCTTATTGGTACTCTATTGAGTACTATTGCTCTAATCGATACCCTATTAACCTCTTTTGGTGCCAAAAAAGGCGGCAGTAGGGAGGTTCCCTATTGAACCTCATTTTACCTGTGTACATGCCGTATGTCACCGCAATAGCGAGTAAGTTTTTTAAATAAATTTTTTACAATAAATTACGATAGACATCAACGATAATGCCAATGCAAGCTAACATAACTTTAACTACATACTGTCAGCAAATTGTTAGATATCAACGATAATGCCAATACAAACTAACATATACTGTGTTCTCGCAATAGTAAATAAGTTTTTTAAATGAATTTTTTCACAGCAGATTACAATATACACCAATGAAAATCAAAGTATATAAAAGTAGCTCCGAATAAAAACGCGGGTTTTAGGCGCACATTATCACACGTAATAAATGATATAAAATTCAAAATAAATTTTTATGATTTCATGATTATTAATATGTATGCTCTATGATGTTATTAGGGGCTATGACAGCAAAGTTTCAGATTAGATAAAATATTCATTTTTGTAATTAATATCCTTGTATAGAATAAAATGCATTTATGAATTAGTATAGGTATTTTTTTATAGATGGTGCATTTATTAGTTATTATTATGTTTATCATAACTTCATTGATAATGCAAGTTTATCCAAAGTGTTATTAAAGGGTGTGTGAAAAATCGTACGAAGTATAATGATAAGCGGAGAGTATAAGTAACAAACTCCGCTGATGATTAGTAATCTTATGTTATAATCATGTGATAATGAATGGAGATTTGGAGAAATTTAGGGAGTTCTCAAGCACCTACCTCAATTGACTCAATAACGAATCTGATTGGTCTGTTTGATAAAACTATCCAATCAGATTTTTTATTGAATTCATTGAGGTAGTGCTTGAGAACGCCACTAATCTTTCTCCATTCTTTTGAAAAAAGTTTATAGCTGAACTTATGATCATAAATATAAATAAGATACGTAAGCACGTACGTATCAGGTATGTACGTACTGTACGTACGCCATTAAACGTTATTCTTTAACAATATGTATAATTTTTTTTTACCAAATTTGGGGACAAAAACAAAGTTTAGTAGTATAAAATCTCATTTACAAAATAAGATGCTAATACGACAATGAAATAAATCATGATACTTATTTTTATTTTGAATTCTGTAAAATCCATTAATGCAATCAATAAAAAGTGGTATGAATTTGAACAGAGTTGACAAATCAGACATTTGTATCCTTAAGTGCCTCCGATAATCATGGACATTTTGGTATATTTTTATTTTTGTACGTAGCAAATATAAGTTCTATATCAAATAATTAGAAATATAAAATAATTAGATAATTGAGAAAACCTTGCATATACGTTTGATAGACATTTGTTCTAAACCTGAATCTACGAATGCATTTATGTCCAATTCAAGAAAGAAATCATCAGAATTGTGGGTTATAAATAAGCACGAACAACTTCTTTCTCTTAATTCCAATTTTCACACAAAACTCCTATTCTTCAACTTCTTTTTATTCTTAATCTTAGTTACCAATTTACATATTAATAAATCGATACCAAACCCCGAAAATTTTTTTAGACCTCTGATCTAGAGTCTAACCCATCTTCACTACCCTTATTAGAAATATAAATTTATTATAATGACGCACCTTAGCCCGGGAAAATTTTCTTATCTCAGCCAAAATCCATATTTATATCTTAGTGGTCAAATTTTTCAAATTTTGGGGTATTTCATAAATTCGCCGCAATGCAACAAGCTTGATATATATATGTAAACGAAGTGATGAACTCTTCCGAGATCAGTTCTTTAAGTTCTTTATTATCTCATCCACCATACGAATTGACGCTCTCAGTAGAAGAATTAACTAAAGCACCAACTATGAAAAATAGTATTGATAAAATTCAAATGTATTTTGGCCATGCAAAATTAATTGGCTTTCATAACCCGGCCGGGTCAAAATTTAAGAACTTATATATAGCCACGGCTACATATAGCCGATTATACTATCTACGGTTCACGTGATCAATTTTCATTATTACGAATTTATATTCAAATGTATTTAGGCCATGCAAAATGCAAAATCAATTGGTTTTCATAACCCGACCGGGTCAAAATTTAAGAACTTATAAAATTTTATGGGAAAATTTATACATAGCCGCGGCTACATATAGGATTCATTATTACGATTACCGATAAGAAAACTACCCCACTTAACAAGAACTTAAAGAGGCGGTTGAAGATTATTTGGCCGAAAATAAGAAAAAAATTTTTATTAAATTACATTTAACAAAGTACAATTTTGACATAAAACCTCACAACCCTAATTAATCTAAATCCTAACTACCCTAACCCTAAACCCTAATACGGAACACTACAACAATGCTTCACCAAGACATCAAAGAAAGTACAATTTTAACCTAAAATCTCACAACCCTAACCACTAAATCCCAACTACCTAACCTTAACCACGAAGTACGATTTTAACCAAAATCCCCCCTCCAAAAAGGGTAAAACAACTGCCCGTATCACTGTTTCCGTCCAAAATACCCCCATTCATTCAAACGTACATTCACCCTAACCTTAAACCCTAATACGGAATACCACAACAATGCAACAAATCGCTTCGCAAAGACAACAAAGAAAACAAGTCAAGCAACGTCGAAAGCATTTCAATAACAACACCGAAAGAACGGCACCTAACCCGAACGATGTGTAGATTCCATTAACGACATTTCTATTCAAAATGGCACCAACGACATCCTTCACAACACCAAAAAAAATCATACTTCCCAGAAATCCCAAGAAAGCTAAAAACGACCTTAATTACACCTAGAAAAAAAAAGCGTTTAGTAACATGCTCACAATAGAACAAGAACTACGAACGAATGGAATCACACTTTCCGGAATTCCCAAGAAAGCCTTTCACAGTACCATAAACGAAGAACCGGACGCGACGATTCCAGTAACGATGGTAACGATGACACCAGAACGACGGCACAGTAACCGCGAAATGCTGTTATGACAACATAAAGTCTTTTATAATAGGAGATTATCACAATACACAAGCTTCTAGCATCAATAAATTTTGGCTTGCTCTATCCATAATTCTGGCCGCCGATATTGTGTCATTTTAATAAAAATGACCAATTTATTAGAGAAGTTGTCTCTAGATTATAAAACCCTTGTAGAAAGTGCGGAACGATGATTCTTATCGATCATCAATTGTTTATATCCATTATTGATCACCCTATGTGGGTGGTAAAATTCTTGGTGGTAGCGTCAATAATTCTACCACCTCGTATAAATGAAAAAAATGATGATTAATATTGATCATCAATTTTTTTACATCCATTATTGATCACCCTAATGAAAAAATATATATTTTTATGAAATTTCTTGCACCAAAAGATTCGTTACGACAAAATATTGCACAAATATCGAAATTTAAAATGATCATTATCGATCATCACTGATGAAATTTTAGGTGGAAAATATATATTTTTTTTACGAAATTTAAAAATTTCATGTTATGAAATTGAACATTTTATACTATATATCAGATATATAGTTATGGTGCAGAATTATTGTACCAATATTATGGAGCACACCTATTGACTATTCATGTGATAAAAGACTTATGGATCACTAATTCTATCTAAAACAACAATATAAACTGCTGAACTCTATCTAAACCTAAAATGGCGGCAGGCTACGAAAGGGGCGTGGAAGACTTGGACCGAATTATTAGGGTCAAATAGAGCTCTAGACTATGTCACGAGGCTCTCATTCAGGATCACGAGATTAGACTACTAGTTCTATGCGAGTTCTACTCCGAATTGCTTTATTGCGAAGACAAAAGACATTGTATTATGACGTAGTTATTTAAACAAACTTTTGGTACTTTATGTATCCCAATACATAAATATTGAGTGCCAACAATAAGCTTCACTTGCATATATGAAGCTTATTGCTGAAACTCAAATTTCCATTAAAAACATACAATACAAAAATATTATTTGTGCCGTAGTAATGTGAAACTATAAATCAACTAGTTTCTAAATCCTATATGCATCCAATCTACTATGTGCGAAAAAAGGCATCCCCGGTCGTCTACCCTTTCACAACGTACAACTGAAACTTCTACGAAAGTAACAAAAATCTGGGAGAAGGAATCTGAATTAGTAAAAAGATTTTTTAAGATTTTATCTTTAATGGCCGAAAAGAATAATTCATCGATGTACCCAAATTATATATTTCATACTAAAAGTAGGAAAAAAAAAGCATTGAAGTTTCGTGTTTACTTTGAGAAAATGATTAAGAAAAATAATTCAAAAAAAATTTCATGACTCCACTATACAATTCTTGAATATAGACAATTAATTTATAGATAATTTTATTTTATAAATAGTTTATTCTACAAATAATTTATTTTATGTGCCAGGTTGATGGCACAAGAACCAGCTAGAATGATCTCTCTCTTTTATTTATTACTCTTAAATAACCGTTAATTCAAATTAACGTACCTGAGTTTAAAATTTATATCGATTAAAATGTAACATACGTAGTTTTAAAAATTATACTGATTAATATGTACCGTACGTACGTACGTCAATTAAACTCAAGTTTAATATAAGAATTTAATAAATTGAATTGAATATAAAAAAAAAATTCTTTGTTATTTTATTTTTCATAATATGGCTTCAAATTCTTCGCTAGTTTTTTCGGTTTTTTCATTTCAAAGCTTTCAAAAAATCGGTAATGATTACATGAACAATAGAAAAAACGAAAGATATATAATGAATCGTTTAAAGTATAATCGTTTCCTGGCTATTTTACGAAACGCGCCCAAGTAAACATGAAAATTCGAACTTAAAATATTATAAACATAATCGTGGTAGCAAATCGTCATGTTTTCAGAACCGTCAAATGATTTATAATCTTAATGGAAAAACGGTATAAAACTAAAAAAACGTGTGTTAAATTTGAAACCTGGTGATTCGGATTCCTGATATTGATAGGCTAAAATGGATAGACGAGCATTGCGACTCATATCAAGTTGGAATTTTGGATACATGTTTTCAGCAAACAAATTAGAACTCTTAGATACTGATGAATTTCCTGAACTTGATGTAATTTCAATAGGCAAATTTATTTCTTTACGAATGCTGGTGCTCAACAAAACTTAACCCGACCACTAAATATTACAAATGAAACATCCAACAAGATCTAAAGGTTTCATTGTAATAAAACAATTTGTGAAATAACAGAAATAATATAATTTTGAAAATTTTTAATTCGTTTATTATAAAAAGGTACTTACTTAATATGTAGTAGAGTATATTACAGTAATTTCGGAAATATGTAAGGATAACAAAGCTTATAAATTTAATTATAAAAGTAAACGTCGTCTCGTCTTTAGCATTAAGAACACTAGTATTATTCTTTTTTAAGATATGATTCAGAGTAGATTATGAGAAATCTTTTTTTTTCATTTAAAGAATTTTTTTTTGTAAACTATAAGTACGTGTTTATTTGAGATTTATTATATACTTTTAAAGTCAATATTTTTTTTTATTCGTATGTACATTATATTAATATCAATATCTAATATGCAATCAAGGTATATTGATTTGCTATATATACCAAAATTGACCAATCATAAGCATAAATATGTATCACGTGCTAAAATAGTCGATTTTGAATATTTTTATCTAAATGCAACTTCTCACTATATGCAAGGCAATCTATCGGTCCCGACGAGTTGCACTTAGAGAGAGTTGACTGTATATAGCTGAAATTTTGAGATTAACTTTACAATTATATTGTTAAACTATATGAATCTTGATTTGGATTAATTTTGCAAATTTGCCAATATGATAAATATGTTTAAAATAATTATTATGTTTATTAATTTTTTTTTAGTTTACAATGTTTTGTTAAAAAAGATAATTTATATTTACACAAAAACTCTTTCTGATAATCATCTGAACCAAAATTCTTACTAAAAGAAAAAATATAGTGTTTGTTAAAAAGTCATAGCCTAATGCAGCACTCTTGTATAAAAATTATGATGAAGCTTTGGCAAAAGCCTGGTCTCATTAACAAAGCTCTTAGATCATTACTTTAAAGAAGAATATAGGGAAAACAACAAAACTTATAATTTTTTTAAGCTGTACTTCTTTACTTGATCAAGTGGTTTCTCTTTTACTTACTCTTGCCTTCCTGTTAGTCTTTTAAAAAATTTTGATAAAAAGTGAGAATTTGGCTTACCTCTTTCAAATGATCGGCATTGTTTACTTTTCAAATTTGAATGGTCTAGCAAAATGTAACCACATGTTTTAAGAATACAGAGCTACTATACAGGACTAGGCTCCTGGTATGGAATCTCTAATAACAGCAGTAGATAGCTCAAGATATAGGTCTACAGATAGTAGCAGCACCTACTTGAGATATAGATTAGAACAGGTACAAATAAAGTCATCCAGAGTTAGTTGTAAAGTTAGAAGGAATAACTTTAATGTTAAGACAATGTTTTACAATAGAGATATATAAATGTTGCATTTGTTATATAATTTTTACACTTGCCTAGTATGGGTTATAATAGATTATTATATTTTTTTCTGTTTTTTCTTTTTTGCAATTTGTGTTTGTTTTTTTTCTTTTCTGTTTTTTTTCATTCATTTTCATACAACTTTTTTTGAAAATTTTCCTCTTTTGTCTCATGCCTCTTGAAAAAAAAAGAATTAGAAAAGAAAGTTTAGCAGTTATAAAAAGGCATACAACAGCCAGCTAAGTATCAAAAGAGTATCTTTTTAGTATTAAATCTTTAAAAAGTTTTGAATTCTAAAAGAAGCAAACAATTGTTATAATAAGTTAACTTGGGCAATATACTTGGGTAGATTTTATTGAATAGAACTATATTTATAAAAAAATTATTATATTTATTTATAATAGTTTATATGAAGTTTGGTAAATAAAAGATAACTGTTTAAAAAAAAAAAAAATAAAAAATAAACTAGCAAAAGGTAGTGTCCTTATACAAAAAATTTTGGTAGGGATATAGTATTTTTTTGTTAACAAAATAATTCTAGATAGCTATTAGGAAAACAACAAATGAGTCTTTTACTACACTTTTTAAAAAATTTTGAAGTACTTGCTTCTTCAAATCCTTTACTATATTTCTGCTAAATTTTAAATTTTTTTTAAAAAATTTGGCTAGAACTTGGCAAAATCAAACAAAACTTGATTTTTGAGTTTTTGAAAAAGTTAAGTATTTATCAGTTATACAAATCAGATATTAAATTATACTGAATATAAAATTTATTTTTAAAATTTAAAATAGATTAGTTTAAAATATATTTTATATTTGATATAATTTAAAACTTAATTTGTGTAACTGATAGATGCTTAACTTTTTCAATAACTCAAAAATCAAGTTTTTGTTTAATTTTGCCAAACACTAATTTTGGCTAAAAAGTGAAAGGGACCTACTATTTCCACCATGGAAATTTGCTATTTCCACCATGGTCAATCACGTAACACATGATCTGCTGGCTATTTGCGAGAGGTCATGTGATACACACTAAGATTGTACTATGTGAGCAAATATTAACAGTTAAAGGCACAGATATATTCAAAAAGTTAAAGAATACATCATAGCTAGAGACGTGCCATCACACTATCAATGCGAGGTGCTTAATTGATGACTAATAATATGAAAATCACAAATAGGATGTCTAATTATCTACGCTAAAATATGTGTTGATTAAGCACCTCGCACTGATAAGCACGCGATACCATCTCTAGTCATTGCATAATTATAAAAAATGTTTGGTGTATGATCGGTTGAAAGCAAATCGAATTGAATAATCATATGATAAACAAATTTTACCGATTATTTGACACAATGTATCTCTTGTATATATTCGCCAGTTGTATTAGTTATTCCACATTATTCATGTGACTTATAAGTTTAAATGCTAATAAACAAAGCGAATGTAAGTGCCTGAGAGCATCCGCTTGTGGAAAAATAAAAAAGCAAATATAACGATGTTAAATGATTTATTTGAAATACTTAAATGCTATAATGCTTACAAAATTTGCATGAATGAAGTAAAATTATTGTCACCGATCATAATGAAATCGGATTAAGATGAAATGAAGGTTTCTATTTAACCCTCTAAACCCCAATTATACTTGTTTATTATAAAGTCTACCATAAAACTAACCTCTAACCCTAACCCTAAAAAAATACTCTCAAAAATTTTTATTTTTCGGTGGCTTGTCTATATTTTACATTGTACAATATTTCATTATAATCTGATTTCATTTTAATCCGTTTCTTTAAGTTTGATCTTAAATATTCTATATGAGCCCTGCCAAGGAAAAAGAGCAGTTCAGCAATTTAAGTATATTACTGATTATTTATTGAGTTCAGCAATAGGCTTCAAATTATATAATATAATACACAAACCTCTGAAAAATTGATTACCGATTCATACATAATAGTCATTTTCTTAAAAGCCTGATATGTCATGCTGCTGAATCAGATAAATCATCAATAATATCTTAAATTGCTAAAGTGCCCTTTTTTCTTGGCGGCACTCATATTATGTAATGTAATGTACGTAGTGCATAATCTAAAAAAAGGTATCTAAAAAATCTAAAATCAATACCGCAATTTCTGAATATATTCGCCGAAAACACTAATCTATTGCAATTCATCTGAATAATATTAGCTTCTAGAATCGTTATTTTAACATTACTTTTTAGGATAGTGACTTCGGTCATTATTAAGCCGAATTGCGATGCAGCAAAAGGACATACCTAACCAAAATTGTTTAGCCTGAAAAGTAAAGTTAAAATAACGATTCTAAAAGCTAAATACAACTACGGAAAACACTATATAATCTTCAAGAGAATCGAATTGTATCTCTTTCCTCCTTACTTCCGCTCATGTATGTAAATATGCATAGGTCTTAATGGGCACTTCCACTACTCTTAAATATAGCATAACTGTAGGGATGTTCAAAGTTCTGTTAGCTGCAGGTTTCGATTTAATAAATAATAAAGTCAAATAGAGGAATTAATAAAAACTAAAGTGGGTAGGTTCTTGGATGAGGCTGAAGATATAGTTTGAATTTTAAAAGAGCTTTGAACTAAAAAAGAAAAAAAAGAAGTGAAAAAAATTTAAATTTTTCAGATAAAGAAAGAAAGTAAAATAAAATACTCCTGTTTGCAGTTCTAAAAATAATAAATTAGCCATCGCTCAAATATAAAATGAAATTGATAGATCCTTTTGAAAGAATTAAAGTATAAAAGAAGTGTATATACCAGTGAGTTCGCAATAACTTCAAAGATAATCCTCAATCTACTCTAATAAACACATTAATAAAATCTTTGTAAAGTAAAAAAAGCATTAATAAAACATTCTTGTATACCTGAATTCCTTGATAGTCCTTAATACACAAATTTACACTTGAAACTATAAACCATAAATTATGTATCTGTCCCCACCCTCAACTGGTAACTTTGAAAGTCGTGAAGCACTCATTAATTATGTTCAAACCCATGCCTTGAGCCATGGATATGCTGTGAGCATCAAACGATCTGAGCAAAAAAAATTTGTCTATTTGCAATGTGATAGAGGTGGTCATTAAATTAATCGATTGAATCTCACTGATGAAACTCACCAAAGAGCCACAAGCACAAGGCTAATAGATTGTCCTTTTAAGCTATATGGCAAGAAGATGAAAGATGGTCAATAGCGTTTAACAATAAAAAATGAAGGGCATAATCACGAAGCATCACAAGACATCTCAGGCCATTCATCAAGTTGCCAATTAAATGAAGAAGACCAGTAAAGAGTTAGAGAAATGTCTACGGCAGGTGTTCGCCCTCGTGAAATACTTTCTACTCTTCGCCAATATGACCCGGGTAAATTGACAATCTTAAAAACTATCTATAATGCTAGGGATAAAATTCGCCGTGATAATCTTCAGGGTCGTACACCAATTCAGGCTCTTCTTGATGAGCTTGTAGAAGGAAACTTTGAACATGACTATCAATGTGATCAAAATGACAATTTAACCCATTTCTTTTTTGCACATTCTAAATCAATCGCACTTACCAAAACATATAACTCTGTTCTTTTAATGGATTGTATATATAAGACCAACAAGTTTAAGATGCCATTGCTTCACGTTGTTGGCATGACAAGTTTTAACACCATATTCTCCTCCTGCTTTGCGTTCTTAAAATCAGAACAAGAAGACAACTATGTGTGGGCCCTTAATCATGTTGCTCACATTTTTGGGAATGTTCCAAAGCCTAAAGTTATTGTAACAGATCGTGAATTAGCCTTAATGCATACTGTACACACTGTGTTTCCTGAATCTCAAAATGTTTTATGCGTTTAGCACATTGAAAAAAATGTGCTGACTAGCTGTAAGTGCCACTTTCAAATAAATGATGAATGGATTGAATTCATGGAATGCTGGTCTAACCTCATAAAGTCTCAAACTGAGGCTGATTTTGATAGTAACTGGGAAGGGCTGGTAAAAAAATACAATAACCAAACTTCAATCATTACATATTTGCAGGATATATGGTTGTCATTTAAAGATTGCTTTGTGAGTCTTTAGATAGACCATTATTTGCACCTGGGCAATGTGGTAACATCACGGGTAGAAGGGGCCCATGCGGCGTTAAAAAGGTATCTTCAAGTGTCAGTTGGGGATCTTCATATTGTTCATGAAAGAATTTCTTTAGCATTAGAAAATCAATATAAAGAAATTCAAACAATGATCTCCCAGAAAATGATTAAAATTCCCCATGCACAAAACATACTATTCTATGTGGAAGTTGTCACCAAGGTATCTACTTTCGCATTGAAAAAGGTTCATGAACAATTTTTAAAGGCATCTAATGCAACACTGGAAAATCCACTACAACCTTGTAGTGGTACTTTTAAGTCGTTGATAGGCCTTCTTTGCGCTCATGCAATTAAGAAACTTCTTGAAAGAAATCAATGTTTACAACTTACCGACTTCCATCAACATTGAAGAATCCAAGAACATCAATTAGATCAGCAAAGACCATCCGAAATCAAAGATGTTTTACAACAGAGGTGGGAAGAACATAGCCAGCAATTTAGTACTCTACCAGCTCACTAAAGAAGTGCAATTATAAGTAAGATGCCAGGCTTATTCCAAGAATCAACTACAGTCGTACAGAATCCACAAGTAAGGCAAACAAGGGGACGTCTAGTTGGGGTGAGAAGCCATGCTCAATCTTCTACTGAAAGAGACCCATCTGCTTTTGAATTGGTTGAATCGGGAAGGAAATGTGGTATATATCGTAAATCCAGGCACAATAGTAGAACATGCTCGAATGCGGAAAGTACAAGTGAAGATAGTGAGGCTTAAATGTATTTAAAGACTATATAGCAAAAGTAGTAAAAAAAAAAAAAAAAGAAATTGAAATAAAACTTAGCGCAGTAGTCATATAGAATTTCTTTTTATTTTTTGTTTTATTATATTTCGTTGTTCTATCGATAAATGTATTTAAAAGACCAGGTATTACAAATAAAAAAAAAGAAAGGTTAGCTTAGATACAAATAGTAATATTAAGTCAATAAAAGCGAAAATGATAATTCAATTACCTTTACTTTTAACTAATAAAAGATCCATTAACACTTTATAAAAAAATCATGTGAAGGAGGTTTGTTATACAGTTGTTCTTGTATAGTATATAATTTAATCCAATAATAAATTCAAAATTTATCGAGATATGAGCTAAGAAAGTTGAGGCATCAATTTTTTTTCAAATATCAATCTGCTTGATTTCTATTGACGGCAGCCCATGTAATTAGAATACGCAAAATTTAAGATTATGAGTAATATACACATTAACACCTATACCTCTGACTTAAAAGCGAATTATATTAGCTTACCCTAATCTTTAAAAGAGATCATTAAGCTTCGTTAACCGAAAGATCTGACCTCTATAATCATGCAACTTTGATTAGGGGTTGTGCATTTTAATGTTCAAGATCATGTCCGAATCCAAGTCTGAGAATGTTCAAGGTTCTTTACATATTTCTAAACGCTGTAAATCAATGTAACAAGATCTGATAAATCACGTAGGTGGTACAATCTTAGTGTGTGTCATGTGTCCTCTCGCAATTTGTCAGAAATAGCCAGCAGATCATGTATTACGTAGTCGACCATGGTGGAAATAGTAGGTCCCAAAGTGAAAATACTGGCATAACTTCAAAAAATTGTTATATATTACAAAAAAAAATTTTTATATAGTGTACTGATTTTACTAATAAAAGTATTTTAAAAATTACAATTAACTGTATAAATAAATAATCATTGCCTAATCATATTTATTTAAATTTTAGCCAATTAAAATAAACTTCTGCTATACTAGTAATAAGTTATAATCAGACTTTTATATAATTGGCAATTTAAATAAATCAATTTAATTTTATATTATTTATACAGTTTAAAGTATTTTTTTTTTAAAAAAAAAACTATGAAATATATAGAAAGTTTTATTAAAGTTATAGTACTCTACTATTAAAAATAATCAAAATTCTTTTTTATTTTAGAGAAGTTAGCATAATAATAATCTAATTTTATCTATTTTTAAGAATGTTAACATCTTTAAACAAAAAAGGATTTTGATTATTTTTAATAAAAAGTTTTACAATTCTAATAAAACTTTCTATATAAGGATATTTGTAATTTATATTAAACTAGTATTGTTATAAGAATTTTAAAGATAATGCAAAAATAATACTATCTTCAAGGTTTCTATTTTTATATTACTATACTGGTTTAATATAAATTATAGATATCTTTTATACTTTTTTTTTGTTTATTTTTTATAGTTTTCTTTTTTTTAAAAAATACTTTAAACTGTATAACTAATATAAAATTAATTTAATTTAAACTGCAATTATATGAAAGTTTGTCTATAAGGAAATAAGAATAACTTTACTTTAGATTATTATATAATTTATATAATTTAATCTGGGTTGTTCTAGAGTATATTGTTTTATTTAAAAGCTTTGGTTTTCAATATGTGAAAGTTTATATCATATAGTTCTGAAATAATACATGGAGGTATTATTTCAAATCTTGGCCTGAATTAAGTTTAGTTTAGACTAAAATTTGAAATTATACTCCTGCATACTATTTCAGGTCTATACAATATATATAATATTGTATTTGCTATTTTTAAAATTTTAAAGTTTAAAAAGCTTTGTTTTACTAGAAACTATAGTAACAATTACTAAATCTACAGAATCAGTATTTAAATTTATAGTTTTTTATTATACAAATGAGGTTGAGAATTGGAGCTACAGCAATATAGTAGTATAAAATATAGATAGAAATATAGATAGCAGTGAAATTACTCTTTTTAATAAAAGCTTTTGTTGAAATTGTTAAAATTATTTGATGTCAAAATTGGTAAAATTGGTTTTTTAATATTAGAAATTAATTTAAATTATATCAAAAATCAATTAAAACTAAACCAAATTAAATACAATAGTTTTTTTATATTAAATTTATAGAAGTATTAAAAATATTAAAATTATTGTTGAAATTATTGTTGAAATTAAAAAAATTAAAAAAGAATTTTACTACCATCTACAGATAAAAAGAAAAGAAAAAGATTCTAAATTATATTAAAAAATATTTTTAGAAAATAGACAATTTACTTTTCAAGATTGATGAGATGCACAAAAAAATAGTTAAAAAAATTCTGAATAATTGAAAAGTATAAATATATTTGTTAAGAAGCTAACTAGCTGAGTAAGTTAAATACTTAGTTAACAGTAATAAATTTATTATTTGACAAAACTCTTGTCTTTAGTGATGAATTAACAGTAATAAATTCATTATTTGACAAAACTCTTGTCTTTAGTGATGAATTCTTCATTTAACATTAGTACAAGCTAGGCTCTTTGTTTAAAAAATTGGTTTTAACTTGATACTTTTTTTTGCTCAATACTATTAGAGAGCTAACAATTATTAGATAATTTTCTAGGGAGGGTTAAAAAAATTAAAAATTTATATATAAGACCTAATCAATTATATTTTTTATATATACTTTTTTTTTAAGAAATAGTGTTTGCAAAAATAGAATCTAAAAATAAAAGAAGTAAGTAAGATAACAAATATTGTTATAATCAAAATAAATCACTAATATGTTTTGTCTTAGAACAAAGTTACTATTGATAACAATACACAAGTACAATCTGCTATTAAAGAAGCTGAGGTATGTTAATGTAAAATATTATTAGACAATATTTCTTTTTAGTTCTATTTACTATAAGTAGATATCTATTATATATTATATTAGAAATTAAACAAAGCAAAATTGAAGAACTTTTCAATAATATAAGATTTTTTAGTTCTATTTATATCTATTATATGTTATATTGGAAATTAAACAAAGCAAAATCAAAGAACTTTTCAATAATATAAGATTATGCAATATTTATATACTGTATAAGCTGTTTAGATTGTTATCTTAAGCAAATATAAAAGAAAGACTTGTTCAAGTCAATAGTTCATAATATCACTATTGAAAAAAATCTTTCTGAAGATATAAAAAATTACTTAAAAAATTTGTTTATCAAAGATATTACTAATATAGTTACACTTTCTTAATTGTATCCTATTAAGACTATAGTAAAAAAAATTAAAATTTTGCATTTAAAGAGTGTTTGCATTTATAAATAGTAAAATATATAGAACTCTTATAAGTTGGGGCCAAATATAATTGTGCATTTAAAGAGGTTTTATATATTACTTACACTTAGAGGTTGTGCACTTAGGGGGTGCGACTATATATTGACAAAAGCAAAAGAACTTCTTAGTAATAATACATAGCTATCTTTACTATGGATAAATAAAATATATTAATATTTTATTTGTTATTATTATTATAGAGGTCTGAAGATAAATAGAGACAAAAAGACCTAATCTAGCCAGATAGTATATTAGATGCTTGGCTTGTTTTTAATATTTTTTAAATATTTAATATTAGGTATATTCTTGTAAGAAATATCATTTGAATAAATATATATACTGCACCCTGCGATGTGCTAATTCATTGTATAAATATATAAATTATAATTTGTAAATCCATGTCAAAACAATTTTTATATGAAAAATTAATTAGATTTAGATTAGGGTTAATATTAGAGCTAAGGTTAGGGTTAGAGTAGAGTTAGTATATACTAAAATTTTGCAAGAAATTTTTTGTTAGAACACGAAAGGTAGTTTCATAGACAAAGTTTTGAGATATTGCAAAAAATCCAAAAAATCTTATTTTTTGTTATACAAAATTAATTTGCACATTACACCTGATTTTCAAATTTAATTGGTCAGGTGATGCATAATTATAACACAGGAGTGCAAAGCCTAGAAAACTCTATATCATTTATGTCTTTAATCTATATTTTTAATAAATTAATATATATTAATTTTATTTAATTTATTTTATTTAGTAGAGAAATAACCAACAAAGTATACAAAGATAAAGTCTGTAATATTCAAAACCTAACAAATATCTGAAGAAGATACAAAAATGATGGTGTTCTGTATCAAAATCAAAATACAACACTAATTTATAAACAGTTTATAGTCCAACCAAATATAACATAATGCATTATTTAGAGAATATGGTTAAATTAGCAAGAAATAGTATAGATAATTTAAATCAACATTTTGTTTAATATAATATTTATCAGTGACAATAGCTAAGAAACTCAAATTAATTAGCATCTAAGAATATAATAAATATCTTATATTTTATAAAAATTGGTTAATAAAATTTACTAACTTTACTTTTTTTAAAAAATACCAAATATCTATTTATCTCACAGATCTTGTTAGAGCAAAGATCTATAAAATATATAAGATATTTAGGTGCAAAGTTCTAACTTCTTAGACAGAGTAGTGGTTACTTGTTATAATTATAAAAATTAGCTTGTGCTTAGAAGTAATATACAAAGCATCTTATTTACTATTATTTATTTAATAATTTTTATTATTATAGATATTATTCACAAAACAACAATTTATAAAAGCAAAAATATATAAAGAAAATGCAACTACTAAAAATGGTCTTAGTTGTGTATCCAATTGGATATCAATTTCAGACAATACTTCTAAGAAAAGAAATAAAAAATGATTAAGCCATTTACCTATAATATAAGCAAATGCTTGTGTAAATTGTTTTTAAATAAATTTTTTAAAAAAATATAGTTTTTATTTTCTTAATTTGTATTAAGTTTTAAATTAAAAAATTGCTATACTTGTAATACGTTATGTAAATCATAAACAAAATTTATAGAATAAATACAAATAAATTTTAGTGTTACTTAACAAATTTATCATGCTTAAAATATTGGTTTGTATTTTTAGATAATATTCCACTACAATTAGATAAAACAATACAAAAAAATAAATTAGTTAGCCAGGTCAGAAAATTTCAAACCCAAAATTTTTTATGCTGCAGTATATAGATAATCAATCAAATTGCACTTCTATATATAAATCTTAGATCTGATTGATCAGTATAATCTTATTCATCATATCTTATATCTATTAATATTATATTCAAGTTGATATAAGTTGACAGATTAAAAAAATGGCTAAGCAGAAATATATCGAAAGCAATTTGGTAAGATGATTATTAATTTTAAAATAGCAAATCACAAAACAGCAAAATCTTTCTTTATTTTAGACTATAATTATAGACCAATTAATAAGTAGCTGTATAATGCAATCACACTAAGCTAAAAACAAGTGAATAGAAGCCAATTTTAAAAATATTGAATACTATAATCCTGATACAAAATAATTATATCTAGTACCAAATTTAGATATTTAAATAGATATCAGATATATGATTAAATATATCACTAAAAAACAGAGTTTAGATATTTAAATTGTTATTAGATTGTCTGTTTTTTGTTTAAGATACTCTTTTTATGTCAACTTTATATACAATGTTCAAGTTTTACTTAAATCAATGATAATGGTATGTGTTTAATTTGAATTTGTCTATAAAATATATAGTTTGATAAATACAGAAATAAGAAGTTATAAAGTTACCAATAAGCAAACTTGTAGTTGTATGATTCTTTTTAGTTTAGATAAACTATGTTAAAACAATTGTATAATAAAATGTAAAATCATATAGAACTTAGCTTTCAATTGATGGTGATATTAGATTATTAATTCTGTAATGATTGCTAAAAATCCTACGTATTAATTTTTTTTTTTTAAACTTTGGTAATTATGCCAATACTTTATTAGGTATAAAACTCATATATCTATTTTATATCTATTTTATGAGTGAGCTAACTTTAATACTAGGCTAAACATATTACTCCTAAAATTACAAGTATTAACTCATTTGGCTCTTTGCAATAAGAGTCTTTTATAACAAAAGTCCAAATTACCCATGTGTGATCTACTATAGTAAAATTTTCTCTCAATACTAAACTCTTCTACTAACAAAGAAATCTAATATATTACTGAGTAGCATTTACAGCCATCATGATTGTCTCCTTTTTTTGAACTTTAAATCTTTTTCTTCTAACTTCTCAAATAAAAAGAAACACTCCTAACTACTCAATGAAAAAACTTCAAAATCAAAGAAAAAAGGAAAGTTTAAACCAAAAAGAGAAAATACCTAAATGAATACTACAAAAAAACTATATAAAAAACTTTATAAAGAAAGAAAAAAAAAGACAGAATAAAAAAAAAAGATCTAAAAATGACAAAAGCACTATTATAACCCATGCCAGGTTAAAAAAATAGAGAATTGATATTTCCACACCTTTTTTTGATAATGCCACACCCTGTAGATTATTTTAATTTTTTAAACTTTTTTTTTAACTTTGATCGAATATATTTCAGCACTCACCTGATCAAATTCAATCAATTTTTTTTATTTTAATTGTAGAAAGCTTTAGAATTCAAAGAAAAAGGTTTATCAAATTTGGTCAGGTGGGTGCAGAGATATCTTCGATCAAAGATTTTATAAAATTCAAAACGTCTATCAAATATAAGCTGCAGCAAATTGTTTACAAACTTTGATCGAAGATATCTTAGCACCCACCTGACCAAATTCGATCAACTTTTTTTTATTTTAATTGTAGAAAGCCTTAGAATTCAAAAAAAAAAATTGGTCGAATTTGGTAAAGTGGGTGCCAAGATATCTTTGATCAAAGATTTTGTAAAATTCAAAATATCTATTAAATATAAGCTGCAGCAAAATTGTTTACAAACATTGATTGAAGATATCTCGACATCCACCTGACCAAATTTGATCGACTTTTTTTTATTTTAATTGCAGAAAGCCGTAGAATTCAAAGAAAAAAAATCAATCAAATTTGGTCAGATGGGTGCCAAGATATCATCGATCAAAGATTTTATAAAAATCAAACCGTCTATCAAATATAAGCTGCAGCAAAATTGTTTACAAACTTTAATCGTAGATATCTCAACACTCAACTAACCAAATTCGACCAAAATTTTTTATTTTACTTGTATAAAGCCATAGAATTTAAAGAAAAAAAAGTTGATCGAATTTGATCAGATGGGTGCCGAGATATCTTCAATCAACGATTTTGTAAAATTTAAAACTTCTATCAAATATAAGCTGCAGCAACATTGTTTATAAACTTTGGTCGAAGATATCTCAGCATCCACCTGACCAAATTCGATCAACTTTTTTTTATTTTAATTGTAGAAAGCCATATAATTTAAAAAAAAAAGTTGATTGAATTTAGACAGGTAAGTATTGAGATATCTTCAATCAAAGTTAAAAAAAAAGTTAAAAAAATTAAAATGATCTACAGGGGTGTGGCATTATCAAAAAAGAGTGTGGAAATATCAATTCCCAAAAAATATTATATACATAACTTTGAGATAATGTATATCTTATGTGATACTAATAAAAGTACTTAAAACTAACTATAAACTCTTTCACGAATTAAATCTAATAATAAAAATTACTACATGTTCTGCATGTATTTGTTGTTTTTCTAATTTGCCATATTTAGGGTTCAAGGCATGGGTAAAAAATTAGGCATGCCTTTAAGGGCATGCCCTGAGTCATGGCATGCTCCTCATGCCCACAGACATGTCTTTTTTATATAGAAAATTAGTGCTTCATATTATATATTTATTTTATAGTGTTTAGTATTTTTTTTTGTTTTGCATTTTAATTATCATAACTTCTATTATACTGTAGTTTACTATAAAAATTCTGTTATTGGTTTAATTGAAATATTATATAAGAGTTATTATAATTTCTACTATAGTTTAATATAAAAAAATTCTATTGCATAAATTATTGTAAAAATTTTTCTAGCGACATATAAATTACAGAATTAGACTTGCCTAAATTAAAATTTTGTTATCACAATAACTTATCTAAAACAGTTAAAATGTTAAAAAATTTACAACTTTAATGACCTCAACTTATGACATGCTGGCCAATCAGATATGATACATATATCACATGACTAGGGTATGCCTAATAGTTATATAGCATGCCCATAGGCATGCCCCCGAAACATGCTCATGTCTCTGTACCTCAAACCCTAGCCACATTGCAATAGCAACTTCTAAAAATAGAAGTAGTAAACAATGTCAATTGTTTGGAAGGGGTAGCCAAATCCCCAGATTTTTTTGAAAATTTTGTAAAAAAAAAATGCCGACAGGATAAAATCAAATACAGGATAACCAAAGTCCTTAGAAAAGGTAGTAAAAACTTATTTGTTGTCTACCTAGAGAGTCAAAACACCAAAACAACTTCATTGATAGACAAAAACCAAAATGCTATTAAAATTTTTAATACAAGAGTGCCTCCAACTTGCCAGTTATCTTGTATATGAATGCTTTTGACTTGCATGTCGAAAGTAAGCAAGGAGTTCCCTGAATAGAGAAGATTAACCTCAGACAAACTATTTAATAAAAGGTGCTTGCTTCTTCTACTATCTCTAACAAAATTTTTGTTTTTCGTTAGCCAGAAAATTTGTACAGGTAATCATTGGAAAGAGTGCACTATTCTGATCCTATATATTAATTTAATAACAGTATTTTAAGTATTATCACTTATTTTCCAAAGCAAAGCAAGAGCACTTTGTTTTTACTATAAACTATGATAAAAAATATCACAATAATATCTGTTCATTTTTATAATAAAAATAAGATAATTTTGGTGTTGTAGTTCTACAGTTTACATGTAGATCTATATATAACAGATAAATATTTACTTAAATTGATTTCTCAAAAATAGTTTTTATAGTATTTTTCTTTATTATTTATTTGAGTTTTGTTTTTTATTTTTTCTCTTTATATCTGAAGCTAATATTGTGAATAAAACCTAAATATTTTACCAAATTTATATCCAAAATCCAGGCAATACTAGTTTCACCTAGTATATAAATTTTTGAAATATCCTCTTCTGATATTATTAATTATTAATTTCATTATTTCATTACTTTCTTTAGTTGTATATTCAATAAGCTTTGCTTTTTTTCTAAGAAATTCAATTGTATCTTCTAATATGCAAATAGTTGCCTTTCTCTTCTACTATTTAACTGATTTCTTTTTTTGATTATGAACTGCTTAATTATTGTCAAAGCCAATTTGTAATTAGCTTTACAATTTACAATATGGTTTTTATTATAATTTTTTATAATATAATATATATTATTCAAAAATTATTTTAGTTTATTAGAATAACTATTGAATTTAAAGCAAATCTATTATCTATTAACAATAACTTTTCAATAGCCTTACTTATCTCTTTTGAATTCTGCTGCTAATTCTTTACCTCTTTTGAATTTTATTGCTAATTTTTTGGCCTCAATCTAAATATATTCTGTCTTATTACTGTAGGTCCAATAACTAAATTACTACTACTAATTAAAGTAACATTTGTATTTTTTATTTCTTGTTAGTAGTTTATATCTGTATAGATGATCCAAATATTAAAGCACTGTAGTAATTTTAGTATATTATAAAACTATTTCATTCTTATTCTTTGTTTTATTGAAATGCTAAACATGAAACCTTCTTCTATAAACTTGTTAAAACAAAATAAAAATTTATTATTGATAAAAAATATACATATTATTAAGCTATATTTAATATCATTATCTTTATTCT